TCCAGCAGCTGGCTTCTTCCCAGTTGCACTTGGTGGCAGAGGGATCTCTTAGAATAAAGCGTGGTAACTGTTGTGGCTTGGTGGGGACCTGGATGAACAGGAGGCTGTATATTTAATGCCAGGCATGTTTATTTGCCTCTGGCCAATAAGCGAGCTGCATGCTTGGGGATCTTCACTTAGGTGGTTCTTGGGGAAAATTGAGGGCATGTATATCAAGCAATTTTTGAATTATGGCTCTATTAGCGTCTGTGAATGCCTCCCCGGGGAAGCCAGGAAAGCTCTATTAGTTGAGCAGTTTAAAGCAGGATTGGAGGAAGCAGTGGGGGAATATCCCATAGGGAACAATAATTATAAACAGCAGTTCCATGTAAACAGGTCTTAATGTGTTTTCTATATTGAATTCCTGAGAGTGAGGTCTTGTGGCATTCCAGCGCCCCCTCCAGGGCCTCGCCCCTGCACACTGGTGCCTGGGGGCCAGTTTGGGGAGCTGAAGAAGAGACTGGGAGGTGGGGGCACTGGTTCTCTGGCTGCTAGGGGCCTCTCAGACTCTGGCAATGCTGAGCCAGTCTGGTTGTGCCCACCGGCTGCCCATGGGCCATGTGATGACACTGGCCACTGGGAGACGGCTTGAAAGTGATGTGGGCAAGTCATCCTTCTTTTTGTGTCCTCGTGGATACTTTGTAGACAGTCATCCTTCTTTTTGTGTCCTCGTGGATTGCTTGTAGACAGCTCTATGATTCAGTCAAGGTTTCACACAACACATTTCAACTAAATCTTCCAATATACTGAAGGTGGGACCTTTTACCCCATTCACAGAGGAGAAAGTCACTAGTGACAGATGGCAGAGCTCAGTCTAAATCTGTTTTTTTCTTAAATTCTTGTTCTAGGGTTATTTATGTAACATCGAATAATTTCCATACTTTTTAAGCATTCTATGAAACATACCTTGTCCACACAGGAAGCTTGAGGGTCTCTCCTTTTGGGTTTCCAGTTCCTCTTTTACTTGTTTAGACTATAAAAATCAGGGGAGCAGAAGTCTTCCTCACTAGTTCTTCATTTTGTGCCTGTTTCTGACTCATATTACAGGGGTTAAGACCTGGGCCCACTGCATAAACCCTAGGATGTACCCATAAAAGAATTCTGCCTGGCGTTTGTAATTGCGATGGTGCCATGGAGAAATGCTATATCCCTGGGCCACATTATTTCTGATTACCTTGAGAGAAAGAATGTCATGCATCTTCTTACATCAATAAAGGAGAATTATGGAAGATCTTAGGGCTGGACACACCTCACATTTCATTCATTAGTTTTCAAGCTCATATAAAGGTAAGGAATTCTTTCATGGAAGGAAATCATGCGTGGGAGCTCAGTATGTGAAAGAGAGGGGTGGGGTAAAGAGGGATGTTGGAAATGGGGCTTTCCTTCCCCATTTATTACACAGTGGTCCTAAAGGGGGATCTGAGGACCATAACCCTGAAAACACCAATTTAAGTCAACCTGCTCATCTTATGGTTGTAAAGTGATGCCAAAGTGCCTGGCGGCTGGTACTAAGGTGAAAGTCTCTGTCTCTAACATGCCCTCTTGGTAAATATTTAGGATATATATCAGGGAGGGTGTAGAGAGGGTTAAGGATTCAGGCTTTGGAGAATGAGAGCCAAAGCCTGGTAGATATGATGAAGAGGTATGTGTATGGTGTGGGTATAGGAGCTTTTATTGGTGACCAAATTCACCCAAAGTTATAAAAGAAAGTTTTGGCGATAAATCCCATACAGTCTAACCACTCACTAGTTATTTGCTCATTCATTCATTCATTCATTCATTCATTCATTCATTCAGCACTTAAAGACCACCTGCTATGTGTTGGGTTGCATTCATGAGTCTTCCGAGTTAGCTGCTCCCTCTGTCTACAGGATAAAGTGGGCTTGCAGGTTTCCTTCAAGGAACACAGCCATTGAACAGAACAGATAGTGACATGTACATGTCAAACCAACACGAAGTCCCCATAGCAAGGTGCTCCAACAGCTCAGCTCTAGCTCAGTCATATTCTTCTTAGGGACTTTAATCTCATTCCTGCCCTGATGTGGGGACTAGGTTTTTGTTAAACCTATCACTGTACTTCTTTTGAGAAAGGCTGAGCTCTGCGACCCAATCCCTAAGTTTGAGTCCCAGCTTCCTGCCTCCTCAATTGTGTGGCCCTAAGCCTGTGGCTTCACTTCTTGGTGCTTCGTGTGTGAAATAGGGGAAGTGATGGTGTTCACTTTATGGTCACGAGGATCAAATGAGGTAACAGGCCTCTGCAGTTCAGTCAATCACAGATCAAGATTATCTGAAAAAAAATGCAAGCATCTGCTCCAAGAATGTACAGACATGTTTCCCAGTTTGTTCCCTGAGCAACACAATGAAATAATTATTTCTATAGCACTCACATTGTGTAAGATTATCAGTCATCTAGAAATGCTTCAAAGCGCACAGGAGGCTTTGTGTGAACCCAGCACCATTTTACAAAAGGGATCTGAGTACCTAAGGGCTTTGATATCCATGGGGGTCTCAGACACAATCCCCTGAAGATATGAAGGCATCGCTCTATGAAATGTATAATGTATTTTAAAATATTGCTTGACACACAGGAAAAGCTCAGTAAATGTACCTACTAGAATACAGTCACATTCTCTCTCTCGTAAATCCTCTAAGGCCCTTTCCTCTGGCCTTGGCATTGCTGTCTTGCACCCCTCTTCTGCTAGGTGCCAGCTGCTTTTTCTGCCTTCAATTGGATGACTTGGGATCTTATGGAGATAGTCATTGCTCAGATTCAGAGGTGACATTTAGTGCCCATTATTCCGTGCTCAGGGCACACCCTCTCACATTGCATCTTATGACACCCGTGTGAGACAATAACTTTCCATCCATTTTGCAGATATAAAAGATGAGTTTCACAGAGGTGAAATTCACTTTGTATGGTAACACTGTAAAAAAAAATTCAGTGTTGTGGTTCAAATCCTGCCTTTATCTCAAGAAATGGGCACATTACTCTGCATGTAGGAAAGCCCCAAGTGACCAGCTCCAGCGTCCACTGAGGATGAAGCCATCGTCCTTCATGCAATTAATTCCCATTTGGCTTCAGCTACAGGGCTGGTCTGTCTGATGGGAACTGTATCCTGGCCACCACACAAGCACAGGGCAGGCTGCTGCGACTTTGACTTGCTGTGTGGAGTTCCTGGAGAATGAAGGCTAAGCCAACTCCAAATGGGTGACAAATGTTTAGAGAATTACCTAAACATGAAGTGAACCAGAGAGCCACATGCTTGCTTGAGAACTGGGAAGCTCTCCTTCCTGTTACCCTCTCTCCATTCTTCTCTCACCTTTACCCATGTGTCTCTCTCATCCCTGCTGTGTTTTATTTCTACTCTCCTCCCTCTCTCACCTCTTCTTCTCTCTCTTTTTCTGTAACTGCAAATGTTATGAACTTCCCCAGTAGCCTTTTCTCTTCCTTTACTACATTTATCTCCATTTTTCTTATTGTAAAAGTCAGGTGTCGATCCCATGCCAACAACTATCATGCCCTGTGATTTCTAGCATCTGAACTCAAGTATTGTAATATCACTCTGTCCTGAAGACCACAGTAGGATGGGCATACAGGTCGCATACATCCTGGGGCTGGAAACGGAGAGGGAACAGACACACAAAGGGGTGTAGTCGACATCTCACTGTGTACGGTAAGGATAACCTGAAAAGATTCATTCATGTATTGCTTGTGCAACTATATATAATTGGGGGAATTTAAATTAGGTGATCTGAATGGTTTTTATTCCTTTGAACAAAGTCAGTCTGGTTCAATCCATCAATCCATCAATGCATGCAACTTTCTTTCTCTTTTCCCCCTCAGGATTTACAATCTTCAACAGAAAATTAAAATTCACAAGGCTCTATTGTGTTTGCTAGAGTATACTGTGAAGTACTGGCTATGCTGGTCCTCCAAACCCAGTGCCATTGCCCTGGTTTTAGGAGATTCTCAGCTGCAGGGTGAGCTTGGGGGCAAGCAGAGAGACAGCAGGTTGGTCGTATTGGGGGACTTCATGCTGAATGGAGGACAGAAGGCCTGGCCCTGGGCAGTTCTCAATATCCTCTGGAGAGGTGAGGGGCTGGGAGGACTCTGAACATAGGAAGTTCTGCTGGTGAAGGAGATGGGGAGGTGCCTCCTGCTTATACAAGTAGAGAAGTTGGCAAACAACTGGGAACCACCCAAAACAGGAGCCAAGGTTGCCCTTAAGCTGAATGAGATGCAGGAAGAGCTTACTATTTGCCTCAGACTAGGGGTGTTTGGGGGTGTATCAAATACTGACAATGTGAAATGACAACGTAATGACTAGAGTTGGTAGACAGGATGCGAAGCATAGAAGGAAGTGAAGGTGTCCTGTCTCTCATGTATTAGAGAAGCTGGGTCATAGACATTGCTTCAAGCAAACAGACAAGCAATTGAGGGTTAAACATATTGTTTAAAGTATGGCTACATTTCCAGAAGTCCTAAAACTGAGCAAAAGGAAGAGGAAGAAGAGAAAAGAGGAAAGTCTGGGCTGAGTGTGCAGAGGAGAAATACATCTGCGTTACTTTGTTCACTAAGAGTTTTTTTTTTTAAATGTAATACTGTTTATTTAACTTCAAAAACATTTCAGCATTCTAAACATACAAAAAATAACAGAATGTTGCAAATTGCATTTAGGTACAGAGGGTTCTTGAACTTTCATTGATGCAGTAGTTCCTTGCTTTGCTGACAAGATGATGAGTTCTACAGTTTGTTTAAAAAGAGTTTAAAATCTACAGCACTTAACTAAAGAAAAAAATCCAAACACTTCTCATGCCAGCTGACCACTCCCCCCTTTTCCACAACTAAGAATGTCAGCAGAATGCTATGTCACTATATGCAAAAACAAGACAACCTGAAGCTAAATGGATGCCCCACCGCAGTATCAACAGGTCCAGCCTCACAGTGCACGCCCTGAGCTATGGCCCCCTCCAAAAGGCATCTTCCCCTCACAGCCTTCACACCAAACAAGAAGCATCAGGAATCGAAGTTTGATGAAATGGCAAAGGGGGATAAAGTACGCTATGATCGGGAAATGAAAGATTATGGACCAGCTAAAGGAGGCAAGAAGAAGAAGGACCCGATGCCCCCAAAAGACCACCGTCTGGATTTTTCTTATTCTGCTCTGAATTCCGCCCCAAGATCAAATCTACAAATCCTGGCATCTCCATTGGAGATGTGGCAAAAAAGCTTGGTGAGATGTGGAATAACCTAAGTGACAGTGAAAAGCAGCCTTACATTACCAAGGCTGCAGAACTGAAGGAGAAGTATGAGAAGGATGTTGCTGACTATAAGTCTAAAGGGAAATTCGATGGTGCCAAGGGTCCTGCTAAAGTTGCCCGGAAAAAGGTGGAAGAGGAAGAGGAGGAGGAGGAGGAGGAAGATGAATAAAACCTCTTGTCTCCTTGTGAATACCTTAGAGTAGGAGAGCGCCATGATTGACACATCTCTTATTAGAGTTGTGTCTATTGCCCTTGTTAGGTTTAATTACAAGATTTGATCACGATCATATTGTAGTTTCTCAAAGTGTCAGTGGTTTACATGAAGTGGCCATGGGTGTCCGGAGCGCCCTGAAACTGTATCAAAGTTGTACATAGCTCCAAACATTTTTAAAATGAAAAGGCACTCTCGTGTTCTCCTCACTCTGTGCACTTTGCTGTTGGTGTGACAAGGCATTTGAAGATGTTTCTGGCATTTTGTTTTCAACTCGTAAGGTAGTGTTAACTATATGGTTGGTTATTGGCTAGAAACCCTGAGTTGTCAGGTGTACATATCTATAGTTTGTAAAGAGAACACTAAGAGTTTTTAAAAGATGTATTTTTACTGTTTAAAACTGACGTGTACATGCATGTGTCTCTGTGTGGGCATGTGTATGTGCTAGTAGAGTCCAGAAGAGGGTGCTAGATCTCCGGAAGCTGGAGTTGTGAACTGCCTGGTGTATGTGCTGAGAACCGAACTCAGTATGTGCTTTTAACCACCGAGCCATCGCTCCAGTCCAGGGGAAGAGTAAGTTTTTATTATGAGGAGTTCTGCTTGGCACACCCTGGATGTGCTGTCTTGTTGCTGTCCTTCACCCCTAACATAAATCTCTCCAGTCCCCCACGTTGGTGCTGATAGGTGGTCAGGCCTGCTACTTCTCATCTTTTTTCCTTACTGCTGAGAAGATGCAACCCGAGTCCTTATATTTCTAGTACTCCAGATCAATAGGTCTATCCATTTCTGAGCTCTTAAGTATGTGTATTTTATTTCATATTCTATTATAGCAAATGAAGAAATGCTTTAAAAGGCTTATGCATTGTTTTCCTAAGGCCGTCACAACAAATTACTTACAAGCTGATAGCTGAAGTAGTGAAAATTTATACTCGGCACCAGAGGTCAGAAGTTCAACATCTTATGCTGAAATGAAAGAGCTAGCAAGGCCACAGCTTTAAGGAGGCTCACAGGAAACCAATTCTCTACCTCCTCTAGTTTAGGGCACAGGGGACTGCCAGCACACCTTGGCTTTCTGACACATCACTCCAATCTCCATTTCTGTCTCCCTGCCTTCATCTCACCTGTCTGTTTCTCATCTCTAGCTGCCTCTCAGGCCATTTGTGATGGCATCTGGGACCCATTCAAGTAATCCGGGATAATCTCATCTCACACCATTAACTTCATCACATCTATAAAGAACTTTTGCTGTGGGATGTTCTGTATGTCCTGTGGGAGCCCTTCTTGGGTTCTTTGTGGCGTTACCCAGCAGGTCCGCATAGAGGATGATTAGGACCATGGGCCTGAGTGCAGGTGTCTGAGATGGTCTGCAATTGGCTGTGCTGGGGGATGGTCTGTATGTCAAGTTGTTCTGATTGATCAATAAATAAAACCTGATCGGCTGTGGCTAGGCAGGAAGGATAGGCGGGACTAACAGAGAGGAGAAATAAAAGGACAGGAAGGCAGAAGGACTGGCTGCAGCCGCCGCCATGACCAGCAGCATGTGAAGTTGCCGGTAAGCCACCAGCCACGTGGCAAGGTATAGATTTATGGAAATGGTTAATTTAAGATAAAAGAACAGTTAGCAAGAAGCCTGCCACGGCCATACAGTTTGTAAGCAATATAAGTCTCTGTGTTTGCTTGGTTGGGTCTGAGCGGCTGTGGGACTGGCGGGTGACAAAGATTTGTCCTGACTGTGGGCAAGGCAGGAAAACTCTAGCAACAAACTTTTTCTTTTAAGGTAACTGATAGACATTCCAGGGTGCACATCTGTTCTTTTTATGCAGCCATTATTCAGCTTTCTACAAACCTTGTTATATTAGGTCATGAGGACTTCACCAAGAGAAATAGCCTAGATGCACGCTGAGTGGATTAGCGATATTTTGCATGTTCCAGGCACAATTTAAGCATAAGGCTATGTATATTTAGAGAAGAAACCCAAAGTCTCAAAATAAGTCTTGAAATAGTTACTTCATGGTCATTCTGTTTGAAGTGAGAGCTCAAGTCTCAATGTTTTTTAGACTTATGAATTTGGTTCTTCAACAATATGCAGCCTTTGTATATCAGAACTGTTCTGATGTCCAGGTCAAACACTGGATGGGTAATCTACGAAGTATTAGGTGATAAGTTGAATCCAGACACATATGATAGTGGGCTTCTTAAGAACTGTATTCAATCTTATCACTTTCAAGTGGATGTAGCAAGCCTCCAGAGCAACTTAGATGTAGGAGATGTAAGATGTGGCTATAGGTGAGAGACCTTGTTTGGGAGACACTGATGTATGCCTCACTGTCTTAGTTGGTGACTTGACATGGAATAGTGAATGCCTTCTGAAGTTGCTATGGCAGAGCTTATAGGTATGGCTAGACATGACTCTCTGGGAAAATAGTGATCTTACCTAGTAGAGATGAGGTTGCTGGTAAGGCTGGCCCACCAAGCAGCATGTGACAGAGAGACAGCTAATAAACTTGTAAAGCTCTCTGAACTTCTAGAATCTGCTCACCTGCCTTTACCCCATCCCCTGAAGCACTTGCTAATCCTCAATTAGGTAGAAGCAGTGAGGAGTTCAGTTGATTAGCAGGTACCACAGTGAAAACTGAGTATGTATGATGACAACTCACAGGGCAATGGTATTTCTAGGAGTCTTACTTGAGAAACTTCTATACCAACTCCAAAGGAAAGAATTATACTGCCCAGAGACAGTATAACAATGCATTATTTTCTCCCCCTAATGAATATTATATTCTTTTGGGGGGGATGCTTTCAGGTCAAAGAAGTATTAAGCATGATGAAGCACAGCTGTAGGTAGGAAGGTTGGCCTTTCCCAGTGTGTCTTTCATTTAATTCTTTATGCAGCTATAGGAACATGACTGCTGCTGTTATGAATTGAATTACACACCCCCAATTGTTATAAATTGAATTGTATCTTCCCAAAAGGCTTATTGAAGTTCTAACTCCAACCCTTATTTGGAAATAAGGTCTTTGCAGACATAATGAAGTTACAATGAGATTATTAGAGTGGGCCCTGACACAACATGACTGCTGTCCTTATAGAAGGGGAAATCACCACATGAAGCTAGATACACACAGGGAGAAGAGGCTAGGCGGATGCTGAGATTGGGTCACACTGCCAGAAGCCAAAGGCCACCTGGAGTGCCATAAGGTAGAAGAGGCCAGGAAGGATCCTTCCCAAGATGCAGACTCCAGAGTTTGCTATCACCTTGATTTTGGACGTCTAGCCTCCAGAACCATGAAAGGGTACTTGTCTGTTATTTTAAAACATCTAATTTGTAGTTACATGGTATACAGCATCTAGGAAATTAATAGAATGATTGTACTAATTTCTCTTTCTTATAAGTGAGGAAAATGAAAGAGAGGAGAAAGGACTTGTTGAAACTCACTAATAATGTGGGGCACACCCAGGTCTGCATCTCAGCCCTTCTGACCCTGTACCCCACATCTCTGCACCACTCTAGCATTGCCCCTAAGAGAATATATTAAGACTAAGGCTAAGATCCTGATAGAGACTACAGATGAGTTCCACAAAGGTGTTCCACTCTCCTTGGAGTGACTTTGTCACGTGGTTACTGTAGCCCTTTCCTGGAGTGAGTGCATGTGCTGCCCACTTCCTCATGAGGAAGTATACACTTCTTGTATCCAGAAGTATCCATCCCCAGCCCTCCCCATTTCTATAACATCAGATGGATGACTGACGTCCTCCCTGGCAGCAAAGTAGGAAAGCTACAATCTTCAGAAGCATGAGTGGGCTGGGGATGGATACTTCTGGATACAAGAAGTGTATACTTCCTCATGAGGAAGTGGGCAGCACATGCACTCACTCACAGTGTCAGTTAGTAGCTACTCTGAAGCTCTGAGCAGGGCTGAAACCTGTCCCCTTGGAATCTGTTGAGCACCAGAAGCATACTGTGTCTGTTATGGCTGGGCCAGCTGAGCTTGGGTCTTTGACAGGGTACACTTAAGAGACTACATCTCTTTGTGCATGCAGAACTATTCATACAGATTTTTAGATTTCATGTGTTTCTTTCTTTCTTTTTTTTTTTTTTTTTAAGATTTATTTATGATGTAT